TCAGTGTAGAGGCTTGACAAGTCTAAGGGTTTCCTTTTCTTTTGCCTTATTTTATTTTTTTCTTTGTCTTTCGGTTTGGGCTAATACCTGGCAGTGCTCAGTAGTCACTCTTCCAAGGCTCCTGAGAATGTGTACTCTTGGCCTTTGAGCTGTCTCCCTGTAACCTCCCCTACACCCCTCCCTGGCCATGGATTCCTTTGCACAGAAGCTTTTAAGTTTGATATAGTCCCACGGTTTATTTTTGCTCTGTTGCCTATGCTTTCTGTGTTAAGTTAAAACACACACACACACACACACACACACACACTCTATAAACCCTCTTTTTTTTTTGAGCCGGGGGGCCATATGGCCCCCAGGATATTCCAAGGGGGTAATGGGTGAAAATTGTGTAAATGGGAGGGAATCATGGTCTGAGACTATGGACAAATCTGTGTAATGCAGGGGCGGGGTGGGCCTAGGGGACATTGTGGGTGTGTGGCTGTCCCCTTAGGAAGTAAACAAGGTTAGAGGGGGGCCATGGTTGGAAAAAGGTTTGTTTAGATCAGAATCAGAGAGCTTATTACTTATATTTTCTTCTAGGAGTTTTATGCTTTCAGGTCTTATATTTAAGTGTCTGGTTATTTTGAGTTCCTTACATGATGTGACATAGTAGTCTCAATTTCATGCTTTTGCATGTGGTGTCCAGTTTTTCAACACATTTATTGAGGAATTTTTATCTTTTTTGGTTCAGAGAGATAGTATTGGGGTTAAGACATCTGGCTTGCATATAGTTTACCCTGATTTGGTCCCCAGCACCACATAATGATCCCCCAGGAATTGCCAGGAATGACACCTAAGCAGAGGGTGAGGATCCCTGGGCCCCATTGGGTGTAGCCTAACTCCCTTTCCCCATATTTGGAATTTATCCTTTCTTCATATATTCTTGGGCTGGAATGATAGCACCGCGGGTAAGGCATTTGCTTTGCATGCAGCTGACCTGTGTTTGATTCCTCCGCCCCTCTCAGAGAGCCCCTGCAAGGCAAGCTCCCGAGAGTATCCTGCCCCCATGGCAGCACCTGGCAAACTACCCGTGACGGTTTTCATATGCCAAAACTAGTAACAAGTCTCACAGTGGAGATGTTATTAGTGCCCACTGGAGCAAAATCAATGAACAATGGAGGACAGTACTACAGTGCTATTCTTTTCTTTGTTTTGGGAGGTGGGAGGCACAGAGGTCTAGCTACCACTCCCAGTGATACCTACCTGGTTTCACTAAGTGGCTAAGCTGTGTGACTTTCAGTGTTCTGCCGGCAATATGGTGCTGGGCCCCCTGGCCCATGCCTGGTAGTGTCTGAGGTTAAACACTGAGCCTCAGGCACACCTGTCTCTGGCCCTGCTACTGGAGATATTTAAAAGCCTGGCAAATTGAACATAGTTTAGTTTTTTAGATATTAAAGTCAAAAATCACATAACAGTATTTGGTCACATAACATTGTTAACTTTCTTTTTTTAATATTTGGTTGCCACAACTGGCAGTGCTCAGGGCTTAGTCCTGGCTCTGTGCTCCTCGAAGGGGCTCTAGGGACCATATGTGGTGCCAAGGATCAAACCCAGATCAGCCACATGCAAGCAGTTTTTAACTTTCTAAATATACTTTCCCATCTATTCTTTCACACTTTTATTCTTACATCAACTTTGTGACTCTAATTTCCTAAGGTCATTAAATGGATTTGGACTAGAATCAGGATTAGATCATATATAGAGCAGAGATTCTCAACTTTTTACTGTCTTCAAAGCAGCAGCGTTCTGTAGACCAGCTGTTGAAAACCAGGTTCCGTACACTGGATGAGGTAGAACTAAACAGAATGAGGTAGAGTCACTTGTAATGTCATCGATTTGCTCGAGCGGGCCCAGTAATGTCTCCATTGGAGACTTTGTTGTTACTGTGTTTGGCATATCGAATACCTCACAGGTAGCTTGCCAGGCTCTGCTGTGCGAGCGAGATACTCTCAGTAGCTTGCCGGGCTCTCCGAGAGGGGCGGAGGAATCAAACTAAGGTTGGCATGTTGGCTGCATGCAAGGCAAACGCCCTACCGCTGTGCTATCGCTCCAGCCCACTTGTAATGTATAAGTCAATTGTATATAGCAGGATCTGTCACAAATGCTCTCTATTTCATTAAAGTTAAGTCTTGGTGGATCACAGCCTTTTGCAGATTCCTTCTGGGCTGTCATGTGGAAGGATTAGATTCATTACTATAGCTCTGGAGGGCAGAACTCATTGCAGTTGTTGGGGTCGGGAGTTCCCTAGCCCTGGGAGGCACGGAGAGACCAGACAGACAATGTTCCTGCAGGAATTCAAGCGGGGTTTTATTCGGACCAGCATGCTGGGGCTCTGCAACATACCCAAGAGCGGGCAGAGGCTGAGAGTCTCGAACTCAGAAACAGGTCATCTTTTATGCAGTTTGAAAACAAAGACCACATATTTTGCACATACATGTTTTGCTAGGTTCCTTACGGTTTTTCTTGCAGTATCTCGACCCAAACATCTTGATCCGGTCACATAGTTTCAGTTTCCAGGATGGTTAAAACACTCTATCTATCTTTAAATAGTTATGTCTTACTCTAGCCCATACCTTACACATCTACTGGGTTCAATCCAATTTTGTAAACTCAAGGCTGCTGAACTGTTTACAGAAAGCAATTTTTGCAAGTTAATTAACTCCTTCCTAGCCTTCCTAGCTCTTTTCACAGTGAGCAGAAGAGAGGTAGATTTCAATTTAGAATGTAAAATGCCTTCTAATAGAGACACTTGCCCCCAGAAGAGGTTGCCCTTTGAAATGATCAATTCCTCATCTCTTACAGTTCTTGAGTAGGACTCTACTTTGATAGTATGTGAACTGATCCAGCCAGTTAATCTTGAAGGGTTTCATAAGTTTCAAGTTCAAGAAATTTTGTTAAATTCCAAAAAAGGGATATAGATATTTTAATTACAGCACTTTAAAATCATTTAAGTTATCAATAAAATTGCTGTTAGTTTCTCAACGTCAGTGACATCTATCTTATTTTCTTACTGGGATAATATTAGTTCATACTACTATTTGTCTTAGGGGAACAATTTCATACTTCTTTAAAGGATATGTTAGCACACCACACTTAACTCCAGACTACCAATATCTCACAACCCATTAGATATATTAGATCTATCAGATTCCCTTACTAGCCTTTATCCAGCCATCCTCCTCCTCCTCATAGCTTTGAAGGTCTGACACCAGGATGTTTTCTCTTCCTGCTTTTGTCTGTTCCTTGTTTTACTTCTCTGCATCATACATATGTGTCAGATCATCCAGTACTTGTCTTTCTTCCTCTGATTTGTGTCATTTAGTATGACCCCCCCCCCCAGCTCCATCCATGCTGTTATAAAAGGCAACGTTTCATCTTGTTGTCCAGATATACTCATTTTCTTTATCCATTCATCTGTAAATTTGGGTTGTGCCCATTGTATTGGAGTATGTGAGCTCAATATTAACCTATCGATTCTTCTTTGAATTAGTATTTTTGTCCTTATACCCATACACATCCAAGAACATTTTAAAAAGTGAATTTTAAGTGAAAACCGTCCTTATGAAGCATTGTCTAACACCATCTTCCATCAGTATTGTTTTCTGAATGTGCAGTTATAAAACTATACACCAAACGCATTTTACTCATTTTTGATGTTTTAGAAATTGTAGGCAGGGATTCAATTGTAGGAACTCCTTGGAATGATAAAGGGTAGTACTTTAATTTGCAAACTTAAACTATGACCACAATGATTTTCTTCGTTATGCCACCTTTCTTACTGTTTCTTCAAACCCAAAGAAACATCTTACCTTCTTTTCTGGTTTACAAATAAAATGATGCTGAAATAAAGCACAGAGACCTCTTCTATACCTGAACTGTGATTATTTGGTTTTCTTCAAAATGTGGCTTCCCCCCAGGGTTATTCTTTTCTCCCTACCTTTCATTTGCCCTAAAATATTTACTCCCTAATTTTACCAGGAGGATATTTCCTTTTACTACTGGGTTGTGTGGTTTCTCTTTTGAAAACCAATACAGAATTATGAGGTTGTCCAAGAATCTGAGACGCAGACATTGCAGAGTTAACGTAGGCAAGAGATGACGGTGTGCGTGTTTGGGGGTGGAGGGGGGGCGGGAGAATACCCTCTGTACCCATTGCCCTCTCCTCCAAGAAAAAAAGGCAGGGAGATGCCCTCTGCGTAAATCCAACTACTCTGAGCTGTCTTTGACAACTTCCGGGATCAGACTTCAGGTGCTGTTTGAAATTCTTCTGTTTACCATACCTATTTACCTTTTGTGGCTGACATAATTGCAGAGGTCCGCATATGGCCAGGGAGAGGAAAGCGATGCCACGAGACTCGCTGGAGAGTAGGCGATAAGGAAGCACAACAGGTATCTAGGGAGGGGTTCTCTGAGTGCAGGGAAGGAATTATTAAGCAGCGTGCAGCAGGGCAGGACCTGTCTGCAGGTGCAACCTGGACAAGCCAAGCGGTGGCCGCCTTCGGAGAACGGCTGTGTGCTGCTTCCCATTCCGATGCCTCGGGCCGGGCACCCGTTTGTCTGAAACGGACCGAACATCCTTCCCAGTGGCCCATCAGGGGGACGCTTGCAGACTGGTGAAGATTTCTTTTTAAAGTCCCCCTCCTCCCCTCTTTTTTTTCCCCCTCCTTTTTTTTCAGGTTGAGAGGGGAGCGATAGGTTGGCGTTTCTGGCTGGGATTCTCACGCATGAGCCAGGGACTCAGGTCCCGGGCAGTCCGGGGGTCCGCACCGTCCCCGGCCCGAGGCTGCTGACCCCCGCGGGGCGCGGGCGTCGGTGTCCGTGTGCCCGGCCCTCGCCCTGCGCGTTGCCAGCTCTGCCAGCGGGCGCCGGCGGCGGCGGCGGCAGCGGCGGTGTCGGCGCGTGGCGGGCGGGCGGGCGGGCGGGCACCCCGGGAGCGGGCGTGGGGGGCTCCGGCGGGGCCCCGCGGGGCGGCAGCGGCAGCATGCGGGGCTGCGGGCCGCTCGCGCTGCTGTGCGCGCTGCCCTGGCTGCTGCCGGCGGCGGGGGGCCGCCGCGACCCCCGCGACCCCGCCAGGGGCGCAGACTTCGACCGCGTCTACAGCGGGGTGGTGAGCCTCAGCACCGAGAACATCTACTCCTTCAACTACACCAGCCTGCCGGGACAGGTAAGAGCCCGCGCCCCTGCTGGGACTCCCCGGGACTTGCCGCATCTCCGGGCAAGCCCCCCACCCTTGGCTGCGACGGGGTCTCCTGGGAGTCGAGCTGGAGCCGGGGGACCCCCCTCGTGCCCTTCCTTCTCGGACGCCTTCCCTGCCTGCCTGGCCCGAGGCGCCGGCGCCGGTGCCGCATCCTCCGGTACCCGGGGACTCGCACCTCGTTCTCACCTCGCGCGCCCGGCTGGCCTGCGGGTCCCGGCCCCCCAGCTGGGCCTTCTCTGGGGACTGTCGTGATTTCTAAGGTTGCACAAGAGGAGGCGCAGAAAACGGCTCCGGTGCTCGGCATCCCTAGCCGGGAAGGAACCTGGTTTCATTAGGGTGATTCATTCCAGACCCTTCTATTTCCTAGCGGGTGGCGGGGAGAGGGCGGCTCCGAATCTAAAATGGAAAAAGGAGCGAGAATTAGACGCCAGCTGCACCGCGCGGCTCGCTCGGGAAGCACCTCCTGCGTCTCGGAGCCATGGGCATGTCACACGTATGTGCATCCGAACAGTCCCCAGGCCCCGCCGAAAAGGATGGAACCGTTGCCATCAGCTGATCTCTGGCGGGTTTGATTTGAAAACTGTTAAGTGGGTGATTTGTATCTAAGTCCTAAGTCTATTTCTAACCAGAACGGAGGTGAGGGAAGGGGAGGAAATGACTGTTCCAATCACCGTAGCTTTGACACAGAACTCTGATTATATAACGTCAGAAAAATGCAGAGTTGGATTTTTCTCCCCTCGTCCCCTAATAGGAACAGACCTAAAGACAGAGAGCAGGGAACGTTTCCCAGCATATCTGCCTCTGAATAAGTGGGAACCACTTGCTATGCCAGCATTTTCTACTCTCCCCGGAAACTGCACAGTTGATAGGGATTCCATGGTTCACCACCCTCTTCCTCACCTAGGATCCAGAGAATGAGAATTTAGATACCTAGCAACTTCCTATGTGCCAATCTTGACCCCCAAATTCCCAAGTGTTGTGCAGTGAGTGAGCAGTGCCCACCTCCCGCTTGGTACTCAATCTCACCAAAGCAGCCCAGCCTTCATCCCTCTTTCCCTCCACTGACCGTCAGGTCCTGTGTCCTGGAGTAGGCCAAATGGTTATGTTCAGAGAGCATTCCATTGCCCACTCCTGGTAAGTCTTTCTTTCTCTCTCTTTCTCTCTCTCTCTCTCTCTCTCTCTCTCTCTCTCTCTCTCTTTCTTTCTTTCTCACACCTGGCGATACTCAGGGGTTACTCCGCGCTCTGCACTCAGGAATCACTCCTGGTGGTGTTGGGGGACTGACCATATGGGATGCTGGCAATCGAACCCAGGTTGGCAGCATGAAAGGCAAATGCCCATTTGATAGGGATTCCATCATTCCATAGGGGAGTACTATCACTCCTAGAGGTGGGGATAATTTTCGTTCCCTCAGATTGTTGTAACTGATCTCTCCCGTCCCGGGATTAGCATGGAACTGCTGATATTGACACAGGAAGTACGTTTCTAGCCCTGTGATTGATTCTGACCAGATCAAGTCCAAAAAAGCCCCCCATGATGTTAATATCAGTTTCCTTCTAAATCATTGGCAAAAAGAGGTGGGCCTGGTAAGTCCTACAACAGGCCTTAGTATTTCTTAAACTCTTTCATAGAGATTAATTTTTTTCCCCATCTGCTATTTTGATCTTTATCCATAGTACTCAAGTGTTTGTCTCTACTAGGGCACATATAGCTGCTCTGGTTGCAGTCAATATCATGTTCGTTTCTACATCTCTGTCTCTAGCACAGAGCTTAACACTTGTTTTAAAGCCTTATTCGTGTTTTTGAAAAGCAAAATAAATAGATGGAGAAAGATTAAGGGGATTTTAAATTGAAGCTAAATAAAACAGCTAAAAAATACATTCTGTGTTAATGAGTTGAAAATGTGAGACTCTTTCAAATAAAACAATTTGTTATGACATACTTTGGGGGCTTTTGTTGTTGTTTTGGTGCTGCAACTAGCTCACTCCTTCCTGGCTTTGTGCTCAGAGATCACTCCTAGAAGAGTTCAGGGAACCATATGTGGTGCTAGGGATTGAACCTAGGTTGGCTGCATGCAAGGCAAGCATCTTACCTGCTTTACTATTTCTCTGGCCCCTCTCAGGACAAATTTACTTTAATGAAGCAAAATTCTCATATAAAAATCAAAGTTTTTGATTGTTTAAGATGATACCACTTCTATTTGCCTATATGTGTATTAAAATGCTCTTTATTTTATAAAACAATGGTGATAGTTTTTAAATACCATTAAATAACAACAGTAAAAACGGACAAGTCCAGTAGTCTCTAAAATTTTACTAGTCTGAGAAATAGAATCAAAAGATCATTCAAGTATCATTTTTATGCCGATATGCAGTGATATAAGCTAGTTCTTCCCAGTCGTGACAACTTTCTGAAATTCCCATTAATATAAAAATAAGACCGTGTAATCCTCAACCTACTTATGGGAAATCACCCTCTTCTCCCTGTAGTCTGTATTCTCGTGCAGTTCTCCAGAGATGGAATCCTTCTGAGCTCCTCCTGCAGACTATTTGATGTTTCTCTTGATGGCCTGCTCTATTCTTGGTCCTGTTTGCTCTGTTAGTTACTAGAAGCGCCTCTGTCCAACAGAAGGAACACAATGTTGTTGGAGGTAATAGGATTTTACTGAAGGTTTAAAATAACAAGGAATTTCCAGAACACCACAAATTAAGCAATTGATTAGATTAAGTCAGAAATCTCAGAAACAGTCTAAATTTATAATCTACCAGTTTTCATTCTCCACCTGGAGAAATTTCAAGTCAGTGGACCTTTCTTTCAGGCCCTGATTTCTCACCCTGTCTGGCCATCCCCAAGTGATGGTCTCCTACCATTGCGTTTTTCTTATGTCAATCAGTTTTCCTTCCACTGCTGACCTCAGATTCATTAAAGAATTCTATTAAATTATTGATTTATTTTTTAGTCATGTCCTGTGGTGCTCAGTACTCCTAGTTCTATACTGAGAATCACTCTTGATGGGCTCAGGAGATCATCTGAGGGGCCGGGGATTGAACCTTGGTCATCTGCATGCAAGGCAGGTTTCCCACTATGGTTTCAGCACCAACATTCTAAGAAGCAGATCTTTGAGTTAGAGAGAAGATGTAGTTGGACATGGTCATTTTCCTTTACCCTGAGCAAAGTCTTGGTCAGGGCTTCCTCACTGCAGAGGTCGTTTTCCTACCCACCCCTCTTCAGGGCAACAAAGGTTTTGGTTTAGGAGGGGGGTAATGTGTGGTGATTGGTTTCCATTGTAATACTTTTTTTTTCCGTCCTTTACCCTCCAAGTGCTGTTATGTTTGTCATTTTTATCCTTTGACTTGGAAGAGGAAACCTATGCTAAGTTTAGGCTTCAGTGAAGAGAGGAAGCTGCTGCAGAAGCATTCATTCGCTCCTAATCTTTCCAGCCACCCACTGCATCTCCTGTGCCAAACGCTGACCCATACAACTACTCAGCCAGGCATGTGCCATGCTAGCAAGCTCAGCTCAGCACAAGGAAAAGCGTGTGCCCCACATGCCTTCCAGGCAGAGAGTAAAGTAAATAAGAAACTGCCATTTAAAAAAAAAAAGTGCTGAAATAATGGAATGGCTGGTTTAGAGAAGACTAATGAAAATAATGATTAAAAGGGCAGTTAGGCAAGGCCATGGTTCACTTCCTTTCAGAAGCAAGTGTTTGAAGAGTCCTTTTCAAGGGAGTCGGGTTTCACCAGGGTGAGCACTCCTCCAGCCAAGGCAGAAGGAAATCACCTTGTTGAGAAAACCTCCACCTACGTATTTCATTATGACAGAGGGCACAAACTCAGGTTGATTGGGAAACTCGACTTCTCTGGTAGAACCAGGTGCCAGCAACTAGAGGATATTTATTAGTATTTGAAATAGAAGGTGATAATAAGCACTTAAATAAAAATCTCACCATAGGGCAACAGGATGTGTTGTCCCTGAGGTCTTCAATGCAAAATTCATCACTCACCAAGATTGGTGTAATTTGAAATGTTTCCCTCAAAATATTTATTTTATTTTGTCTATTAAAAAGAGGCACTTATGTCTTATTTTCTGATGGTTGAGGAATAACTTTTTGCTTTCATCTTGTCAACCAAAAGCTACATACTTAGAACTACTCTTGCCAGCCTCTTGTATCTAGATTCAAGAAGTCTGTTCATGGGACCAGAATGATATTGCAGGAGATAGGGTGCTTGCCTTGCAAGCCGCCAACCTGGGTTTGATGCCTGGCACCCTATCCCCCAAGACCACAAGGAGTAAACCCTGATCACTGCTGGGTGTGGCCCCCAAACAAAAAACATAGAAGAAGAAGAAAGAAAGTAAAGAAAGCCCAGCCTGTTTATCCTATTCTCATAAACAATGAAATCTACCTCTGGTCAGTACAGTGGTAACTTCTAGCTGTACACATTGCTAGTTACAGACAAATACAAACTTGGGTGTAATAGACTATGGGAGCGATAGCACAGCGGGTAGGGCGTTCGCCTTACAAGCAGCCAACATGGCCGACCCGAGTTCGATTCCTCCACCCCTCTCGGAGAGCCCGGTAAGCTACCGAGAGTATTCGATATGCCAGACACAGTAACAACAAAGTCTCCAATGGAGACGTTACTGGGCCCGCTCGAGCAAATCGACGATCAACGGGAGGGCCTTTACCTTTACCTTTACCTATTCTGGTCTATTCTCCCTGTGCTTTTTATCCACAGAAGACAGCAGGCACACCTGCTGGTCAGCTCCTTGTCCTGAATTGAACAGTACTGGTTGGTGGGAAAAGAATCAGTTCATTAGCACACTATTTGTGTGACCAGGCACTCATTCAGCCAGTTTGGGCTGTTAGAATATCACAGACTAGATGACTTGAAAAAACCCAAATCTGTATTTGTTGCAATTCTGGAAGCTGGAAGTTCAGGATAAAAAACATCAGCATATTTTGGTGT